TTTTTAGCAAACCAAGGAAGGTCCAAGACACTGAACAGTATGATCCCATTTAATTGTTCCAAGACCCTTAAAGGAATCACCTCATTTTCAATATATAAGTCGAGCATCTCTCTGTCTATCTGCCATAGCAGCTGGTTCTCGATTGGTAGGTCCAGAGTACTGATCTTGACTTTCGCCTTCTTGGCTTGAGGTGGTTGGTCCATCTTTTTGTCCTTTGATCCAGTCTGAGAGGTCTAAAATAAAACAAATCACTAAGAACAACATAGCATATACAGACAACTTTAAACTTCAGGAGGTGTCTCTTCAAAAGTTTATTAATTTGCTGTTTTCTGATATGTGATAACATCCTGGTGATGCTGTGGCTAAGTGCTGGACTGGCAACCTAGCAGGGCAAAGTCACCAGCCGCCCGCCCACATGGTACACAGGAGAACGATGAAGCAGTCTGTGAGCTCCCATAAAGACTGACAGTCTTGGACACCCTACTTGCGACTGTGAGTCAGAATCAACGACAGCAGTGGACTTTGATCTGTGTTTAGAGCAGTGGTTCTCAACCTTCCTAACTCTGCGGTCCTTTCATACAGTTCCTCATGCTGCAGTGACCACCAACCAAAAATCTATTTTCGTTGCTATTTCATAACTGTAATTGTGCTACTGTTGTGAATCGTCGTGTAACTCTGATAAGCAAATATGTTTTCAGTATTACAAATTGGACATACTGTATATACTCAAATATAAGCCGACCCGGATATCAGCCGAGGCACTTAATTTTATCAAAAAACTGTATAAAAACGTGCTGGTAGGGTAACTTATGACAAAACTATAATAATTTATGAACTATGAAGGGTTCATGGGGGGAGTGGGGAGGGAGGGGGGAAATGAGCAAATGATATTAGGGGCTAGAGTGGGAGGCAAATGTTTTGAGAATGATGAGGGCAACAAATGTGCATAAGTGCTTGATACAATGAATGGATGTATGGATTGTGATGAGAATTGTATGAGCCCCCAATAAAATAATTTTTAAATGTGCTGGAAAACTCAGCCTATACACAAATATATGCAGTAATACAAGCATAGTGATTCATCACAATAAGTAATTAAATATTATGAAATATTTATTTCTAATGACATATCAATGAAATTTTGTCTTGAAGCATGATGTAGCATGGGTAACAGTCTTCACGCTGGGTACTTGTATATGGGCAGACCAGACAGGAGACAGATAGAGGAGCGGCATCTCGGTTCCTAAGACCAACAGAAACGTGTTTCGCAATGATCTTAGGCACAACCCTTCAAAGGGTCATTCGACCCAAAAATGGGGGTCGCAGCTTGCTGGTTTAGATCATCTCCATAGCTGAGGACTAACAGCTCCCCAACAAAGCCCACTGCCTTCGAGTCAGTGACACAGCGACCCTTTAAGACAGAGTATAAAATGCCCATGAACTTCGGAGACTGTTTATAGATGTAGAAAGCGTTGTTTGTTTCTCCCCACAGTGGCCACTGACCGTAACCACTGCCACCTATTAACAATAGCTAGAAAACACATGATTTTCTTTTATGTGGGATCCGTAATCCCACAATCCACACACAGTCAATAGATTTCTCTATTGTCTTCCTCTATAATCTAAACATATGGGCCTGAAATTGATGGGGAAAGTTTTGAAATTTTTAGTCATCCACAAATTCTATGTGATTTCCAAAATGCCTGTACTATTTACATTCTTATACTAAGTAAGAGAACACTGACCAGTAATGAAATACATTTACGTCATTCTCTGTAATTTTTTTATAATTTTACTGTGGCTATACCGTATACACAATGTTTCTTTCTTTTTCAAATTGCTTACTCATCTTTATTCATGGATCTCTTGGCATTTTAGTGATTTTCATCCAATCTCACTGTTCTGCTTGCTTTATTCTAATTCCATCGAATTTGTCAATCTACATTTTTATTGTAGAAACGAACCAGTTTCCCCTTTGTGATTACTTTCATTGCTTGTATTATGTTGAAAAAACTCTATGCCCGTTTTCCATCTACAGATTAGAACACTGAGATAGTTAAAAGTTTATTGTGCCAACCTTGTGGGGTTAATTGAAGGGCAGAGAGACAAATGGCTCAGTGAGCCTTGCCTTTCGAATTCTCAGGTCTCCTGTTTTCTGATGGGTGGACCAGGGTATGGCTGCCTTTGCCAGTTCCCTGCTTCAGCTGGCAAGGTTCACTTCCTATAAGACATCCCTAAAGAGAAGCCACATGGACCTACCCCCCAATGCAGGCCTGGGTGCTGGAGCAGGCGTGTGGAGACCCCTGCCAGCGCTGATATGCTTACACTTGACTAATTTGGCTTTCTTCCTGCAGTTGGCATCATCACGTGTATTTTGTGGGATGGAGGAGGACTTTGTGGGCTGGTGTCAGACAAATGAGCTAATATTGGACTTGTGGGCTTGGGCAGCACTGGGTTGGGATGTTTTCTTGATGCGCACTTAACCTTTATATCAAACTCTTACACATATGAATTTCTGTGGATTTGTTTCTCTAATGTACCAAGACTAACACAAACATTTAAGCTTTGCTTTTTTAAGTTGTAACTTTTTTTTTTAATCATTTGATTGGGGAGCTCTTACAGTTCTTATAATATTCCATACATCAATTCTATCAAGCATATGGTACATACATTGACTTGATCACTTTCTAAACATTTACCGTATATACTCGTGTATAAGTCGAGTTTTCCAGCACATTTTTAATGCGGTTTTGGTGGTAAAATAGGTGCCTCAGCTGATATTCAGGTTGGCTTATACTTGAGTATATATGGTACTTTCTATTTGAGCTGAATGCAACCAGAATCTATTCTTTGACGCAAGCCTTCACCTCCAATCCAATGAGCTTACATCTACTTCTCATAAATGTAGGCAACTGAGTTTCACTTCCCAAAGAATGATATTTTGGAGTCATCTCACAGAAGCCTACGTCATAGCCCCTGGAACCTCTCCACAGTTTCAAAGTCTTCTGGGGGGGACTGCTTTCCTCCACCTTCCACAAACACAGAGAACAGCACTTCTCTCTCCCACTGCTGTCTCCAACCTATGTACAAAGCATGAAGCGTTTTCTATCTTGGCAATGGCCTTCGTATACCAAAACCTCTATGAGAATAATTTCCTTGGCCTTTTTTTCCCCTGGAGACTACATGCAAGGAAAATAGCAGAATAAAGTAATTTACTGGCTGACTGACTGAAAATGGACAATAAACACAGGCCATCTTCTTGAGGCACTGCTAAACTTAGAAATTCCTAAAATGGTGAGATTAAACACCATAATTTCATATATAACTTGAAATGGATACCAGAAACAAATTTTAATAGACAACCTCAACAGTTATATAACATATAGACTGTAATGGACTTAAAGCTGTATTCATTTAATTACATCCTTGGGATGTATTGTTTATAAAAGTCAGATGCATTGTTTATCCTTTGGAAAAAAAGACATGTTTCAGAGATGTAATAAAATGTTGGGGGGAGAAAAATAAAACAGATCTCATTACTGTTTAGCATAAAGTATAAATTTATTCACAGAACAACAGTTAATAAGAGCCATTCAGAGATTAACACAAGCTTATCACTGACCTAGTAAAAACAGACCCCCTGAAAGCTATCTTGAACTCCTTGGGGGCACAAAGTGATCTTATAAAAAACTCCCCCCACCACCCTAAAACAATGTTCAGAAAAAGAATTCCTAATATAACCATCTTCCAAAACACCGTGCTTCAGGCAGAACCGTGTGCGTGTGTTGCTCGTATGTATACACACACACACACACACACACCACACCTATTAAGGAACACTGCAATGCACACTATAAAATTCAGCCCTTACCTCCATTTCTTCAGACTCTGCCTTGTTTTCTGCTGGTGTCTGCTGCTGTTGCTCCTCCACATGTGGTTCCTCCTGGTCGACCTGCATCTTCTGTAAAACACATCAATTCTTACAACTAAGCGATGCCAGTCAAAGACTCAACAACGTCTTCGGCCATTGGCAAAGCCATGTGGTACGGAATTCCTGCTCAACTTGTCAGCAATCAAAAACGCTAGGTTTACTTAAATTCTAGCTGTACCACATCTGTTACCTGGAGCAGGAAATGTTCCTCTCTGAATCTCAATTAATCCAATTGCACAATGAGGCTAACATTATCCTTCCCTTATAGAAACAAGAGTTTTCTTTGTAAACCACAAAGTACTCAGTACATAAAAGGTATCACACAACTACAATGCATAACAATGTATAACAACACAATCTAATCCAGGGCATTTTAAAATCACTATTTCTAAAAAGAAATTAAAAAAAAAAAGAATCTCTATTCTCAGTGAATAAAATTAAGTAAAAAAATTAAAAATCACTATAACAGCCAATTGCAGGCGAGAGAGGAAATGGACCCCTTGAATAAAGTGCTCAAAGAACAAAGTGTGGCGGTAACAAGAAGTAGGGGCGAGTCTACCAAGTGAGGACTCCAAACGCCTCCAGCCTATCAAATGTCCTGGGGGGCTTTTCGGAGCAACTGCTACCTGAGGGCCCAGACCAAACCTAGACAAAACCCCGAGGGGGTTGAGGGCTGAACACCCATGCCTTTATGAAGCTTTCCAGGTGGTTCTGATGCCCACTGAGGGAAAAGACCCACTGGAGGGTTCAAACACGCTATTCCACTTGGAAAACCAATCCATTAAGACTCAGCAGTTTTAAATAACTCAAGGTGCAAAATGCTTGATTGGAGAGTTGAGTAAGGAGCCAACTCATCCCCATCTCTACCCAAATCCTGTTTCAAGATTTTCGGCTGGTTCACCACCCAGGCTGGGGAAGAACTTGCTACAATTTCTGGACAAGACACCATCATAAAATGTATAGATGAAATGTCCTGATTACCTCCTCCTCCTTTGCATTCTGATCTGTTTCCATCGGTTCCTCATTTTCCTCAGACTTGTGCACTTCCACTAAGGAAGCACTGGACACACTGAAAATACCATGGACATTGACTCGAGCCTTGACCTTCACTTTTGAACTGGAGCCATCTGACTGGGCAGTGACTTTCTGAACTGAAAACTGAGCTAGGGAAAAAACGAGAAACAAAAGAGAACACAGCCTGAGAGAACAAATCCAGACAGCCACATAAGCCCAACTTGCCTCAGAGACAGGGCAGTAACCAACATGCCACTGCAAGTCAGTAAAGTCAGAACACTTAGCAACTTATGAAACGGTCAGGTTTCTCTTTCATCTGGCACATCTAGTCAAACATTTTCCTGTCCAAAACTGGGGTCAAGTTTCCTCATCTCTCCCTTTCCCCCATGCCCTTCTTTTGAAAAAGCAATTCACACACAATCGCTGCAAAAGAAGTAGAAAACAAATGTAAGCAGCAAAACCACACATTCAGAGACGTTGTCAGTATTTTTAGTACTGTTCCTCAGAGTTTATTCCGATGGAGCATTCCGGCTGTAGCTGTTAGCTGCCACAGGAGTCAATTCTGACTTAATGCTATATCGAGTTTTGTAGCAAGCAACTCTATTAAGATACAACACACATGACTACCTATTTATGCACACTTTAAAGCATAAGATTCAATGGTCTCCATAGGGCTATGCAGCCATCAACACAAACTCCAGAACCTGTCATTACACTGCCATAGGAAAAGGCGTCACCCACTAATGACTCCTCCCACTTCTCCTCGTGACCTCCCTCCACCTCAGCCCTGGGCAACCACTAATGAACCCTTTGTCTTTACAAAAAGGCGGACTTCTTATATAAACACAATCAAGACAATGTGTCTGTGTGCGGTGGCTTTCACTTAGCAGCGCGTCTCCAGGATTCATTCCTGTGGTATATCCTGTGGCAGCACCTCATCACTACTTACTGCTGACCCACTATGGCTATACCACACCTACAGATTGTAATCAAAAGTGAATTGCCCACAATTGGGGCAGGGCTGCTTTGTACACTGATTTCTTTATTCTAAAGTGAATTGGGCTGGTGACTGTACAATCCTGGAGCTACACCAAAAAACAAACAAACAGTGAATTGTGTGCTGCGAATGGTTGAACTCTATAGTAAAAGAACTGCATATCAATAAGCCATTATAAAATACTGTATGACCATACACGTATTACTCACAAACTTTTTTCACTTGGTCACTAGCATTTTACCACTGGAGAAAAAAAATTTTTTTTTTCCAAAATCTCATTGAATAGGCATATAATGACTTTAATTTCACAAGTCCTCTTTTAGAAATGTGGGTTTCTGGTGACGTTGCAATTATGAACATACTGTAAAGAGGCTCGCAGTACATTAATCTACTTGCCCACTTCTGGTATTTCATGGAAAGGGGGGGGGGAGCCTTGGAACTTTAATGTATGTCTTTGCTGCTAAAAAAAAAAAAAAGGCATTCGCTTTCCTGATAACCTCCAAGGTAACTTTCCCTCTAAATGCTGTATTTGTAGATTGCCCCCGCCCCCCAAGAAAAGTGAAATTTCTACAGGTTTAGGCTGGACTGATAAAAGTTTCTAGATTAAGACCCAAGATTGTTTTTTTAATTATTGTAAACTGCTGGTCTCTTCTTATTCCATCTACCAAATAAATCCCAATTTGTCACATTCTACAGTATTACAAAACTCTCAATGCATCTACATTGCCTTTCCAAGAAATTGCCATTTCTACATCCAAATAGTCAGGCTTTTTACTTACAGTTTCCAACATATAAATTATTAACATTATTTTCATTTTACATTAGGAAATAAAGAAAAGATTTAGATATAAAGTTCCTGTGTTCCTCTCAAAATATTCCTATAGCTTCTCTCTCAACTGGCTCATTTGCATATTAGGGAGGTTTCTATAAACGGCTCCAGTCAAAGGGTCTCCCAAACCTGATGTACTGCCATTGTATCACACTTCTCTCATACTTTAAGAGTTTGTATGCTAGGGCCAGAACTGAACCGTGTTCTATTCTAGCACTATCTAATGCATAAGCAAGACCTATAATATCCATGAACTGAGAAACATTATCTACCCAATGATAGCCTACAAAATAATGCCTGCCCCCCAGCTGGTTTCACACCTGGTAAACAAGACGAAAAAAGTCTGTTCTTTTAAAGCACCCACATTTCAGAATATTCTGTTCGCACTTCTTGCAATCTCATTTCTTTAAGTACGTGATGGCCTTATTGTTGGTTGACATCTCAACCAGAAATACTTCCTTACTTACCTATAGCAGGATCTGGATATGGCAAATCCTGAGGCGAGCTGTAGTACGCTTCCAGAGTGAAGGGCTCCTTTCTATAAAAGGTGAGGACTCTTGAGAAAGGAGCGGCATGATTTTTTGGAAAGACTTCACAGTCACTGAGTGCAGAAAAGATATAAACATAAAAATGGAGAACATTCCTAACACCTAAGTTCCTAATTATTTCATACCTCTAGTTCTTCTCTTTGCAATTGATATTACTTTCAGGTTACTAAGAGTTTCCGAAAATTTATGTCACTATGAGTCAAAAATCAACTCGATAGTAATGAAGTTTGTTTTTTTTTTTAATACATATATATGCATCACTGAGTTAGATGCAAATTCATAATTATGTAACAAATGTGTCACTGTGATTTGGAATCAACTAGACAGTATTGGTTGGGGGGGGGGTTATGTGCTCATACAGACACACACCACTTACATGGGGGGAGGGCTTTCAAAAAGCTTGTGGAAAGTGAAAGTCCCGTGTATACATATACATACATACACATATACTTGAATCAGCACATAAAAGGCACCAAGCACTATTTGCTTCATGATGACAAAGTGTTATATATTTGTGCAAGCTGAAAGGGAAGACGACACACACCCCTCATTCTCACACTGAGTTCATCCTAAATACAAAAATGATTAACGAACTTATATACCTTGATCCTTCTTCAGCTGGAGAATTCCATCTCATAGATATCGGATATGGGACCACATCAGTGATAGAAAATTCTCTGACTTTGAAAGCCGGGGATAAGATGGCACACTGGAACATTAAGTTTTTAAAAGTTCAATTAATTAAATACCAACATTGAGAACACAGTAATTAAAAAGAGAGACTCATATTCTCACATGTAATAGACCACAATTACTTGCATTAACATCACTTCTGCTATTCGTTCTAAAATTAAAGCTTACGAAATGTTACTCTTTGAGTAATCTCAGGCTATTAAGAGGCACATAAACCAGTGTCATTTTGTTCCCATGACCTACACACAGTTACCTGTGACAGAAAGATGACTTACCTGCAAAGCACAGCCTCGAGTGACCGCTTCATCAGCATTTAATGTTGTACTAAGTTCTTTACCAAAGAATTTGCTTATCTTCTCTTTAACTGCAGGGATTCGTGTAGCACCACCAACTATCTCGACTGCATAAATATCTTCTTTCTTTAATTCTAGTTGGAAATAATTACACATTCAGATTAAAAGATTTTGAATCAGTACACTGCAATCAAAGAGGGGCTGCACCAATGGGTTCAAGCACAGAAACCATTGTCATGCTGGCACAGGACTGGGCAGTGTTTCCTTCTGTTGTGCATAGGGTTGTGGTGGGTCAGAGCCGACTCGATGGTACCTAACAAGGTGATTAATAACTCATAAATGTAGAACTAACTAAACTCCTCCTGTCTCCCCTCCCCCATGCCAATATGCACATGCTGCATCTGAAAACACATCTATATCTTTTGATTCTCATAATGACAATCGCAGGGTGACAGAATAATGGGATTTAGCAGGTGTACTGCTGTGAATTATTTGATAGGGCTCCCAGCAAACAACTTTTTCCAGTTGGGTCTGGGTAAGAGAAGATGGGGAAGATGTTAATAAGGTTTTTATGTTTCCTTGTGAGTGGTTGTGAACAGGGTTGATTATTCTCTACAAGAGGACTGGTCCTCTTTTGCTAGTATACAATGTGGCTGGCAAGCTGAAAGCCAGAAGCAGGAAGGGGAGCATCTCAGTACCATCCAGGAAGAAGAGCACGAGTGAAGCATATCATTCGGACCATGAGATCCTTAGGTATTGAACCTTCTCATTCCAGAGGCAGCAAATGGTTAAGGCCAGAGGATGGCAGAACAGTGGCAGCAGCATAATCAAGGCCTAGAGCACAAAACTGTGGGCTTCCAGGCTCACAGAGAGTACAGCTGAATAGAGATCTTCAGACAGGAGGCTCACTTGTGGAATGCATGCCTCCAGGCAATTGATTGGGGAATTAGGATTGCTCACTCACAGAGCTAAAGATGAATGCCTTTGCACTAAGGTGATGGGACAGGGGGAGTGAGAGAGTAAGCCCAGCTTTACTGTCATCAAATAATTGAGGTGTTCATATCCACCTTTGTGTCTAAGTTTCTTGGAAAACTTTTAGATTTCTCTGTAATTACTTACTTGGGGAATAAGAGGCTTACAAAGGGAAAATAAAAGATCAAAAGAAGCTGGGATTTTATTTCATAACTATCTAAGAAAGGTGCAATTAACATTTTCCAAAGTCCAATCTATTCAAATAGATCCATCAGAATACTCACTGGCTTGTTCTAAAACACTCCGAAGTGGTGGCTCCACTCTAGCTAACAGATCATCACACATCTCCAGAAACTTGCCTCTGTTAAAAAAAATGCATTATTAAATGACACTCAACAATTTCCCATGGAATGGATAGATATTCTCGACAAGACGGATAATCATTATCCAAGGCAAAGTAAGGAGAACTGGGACCCCAAACATAGTGGATGGAAATGGAACGTGGTGTAAAACCCACTCTGGAAAAAATAACAGTTCTTCAAAATGTTAGAACTAAAAGAACAAAGTCAGAAATGAAAGCTGACCTAAAACATCCACTAGAACTAACAATGCCAATAGACAAACAACCTGTAAACATTGGAGGAAAATGAGAATTCATGTACGGGAGTCCTGGCTAGTGTAATGGTTCTGCATTGGGCTGCTAAACCCAAGGTCAGCAGTTCAAAACCACCAGCAGCTGTATGGTAGTGAGTTAGATTTTCCTGGAGTACCCCTTGAGAGACAGATAAGGCTTTCTACTTGTGCTAAGAGTATCAGAAACCCACAGGAGCAGTTCTACCTTGTTACAAAGTGTCACCATGGGTCAGAATCAAGTTGATGACAGACAGTGAGTCTGGTTTTTCATTTGAGGAAATTTCAGCATTCATATATGCAGGCTTCCTCGAATAAAAGCAAAGCATGAGAGA